GATGTTTATTCTTAGTATTACTCTTATTCTACTTGTGAATATTATTCATATTCTTATTATTCTTAATAGGTTTCTTAGTCTGATGCTTTCCTTTTATTATCGATATTCTTATTCGGATTAGATCATTATCATTATTAGTTTACTCTTACTTTTACTATTACGCTTAGTAGTGTATTAGTATTACTCTTACTCCCATCATCATCATCATTATTATTTTTGTTTTTATTAGTTTTTTCTTATTCGCATTAGTATTATGCTTATGCTTATTCTTATTCGTAGTCTTTTTTTCTGATTATTATTGTGATCCGTACCCTTATTATGATTATGATTCTTGTTCTTATGAATTTATGATTACTCTTATGGTTACTCTTATTACGATTCGTACTCTTACTCTTATCGTTATTCGTATTCTTTTTGTCTTTCGTGTTAGTAATGTCATTATTAATCTTATTGATACTATCATTTTTTTTATTATTATTTTTTCGTAGTCATTTTCTTACGTGTATTATTACTCAGGTTGTTGGTCTTATTGTACTTCTTGTCTTTTTTGACAAGCTGGCATAATTATTTTGTGCGGGTGCGGTGCTAAGATAACGCGCCGTACGTGGCGGGGGCGATATCCTCGGATGGACGACCCCACACGTCGGCCGGGAAACAACGATTTGTTCAACAGGGGTGGTAATACAAATCGTATAGGACAAGGATGATGAAGATAATGAGAAAATTCAGATTCTTATTATGATTATGATTCTGAGTATGATTCTTATTATTATTCTTGTTAAGGTTATTATTATTATTATTATTATAATCCGCATTCGTATTCGGATTCTGATTATTATTCTTATCCGTATCAGTATTATTACTCTTACTACTACTCTTATTATTCTCATTATTTTCACTCTTACTCTTGTCAGTATTCTTATTATTTGTCTTATGACTTCCTCTTATTATTTGTTTTCTTTATGTTTTTCTTATTACTCGCATTTCATTTTTTCTGATTCTCATTCCAATTCCAATTGGGATCTCACGCGAGCCAGGGCGCGGGAGTTTGTTATTCCGATTCATTTGCGTGGTGCTAACTGTATCGTTCGGCGAAAACCGCCCCCCACAATTATTTAATTACGGTGCGGTGCTAATGATAACCCCGGGGGGTTCCTTACTAGCTTGATGAGGTTACATTACTTGCAATGCAATGCAATCCAATTCTCCGGCGAAATACATTTGCGATACAATTGCCCCAAATCTATTTCACCACCCCTTTTCAGCTGGACCCCCTTTTGGGTCACCCCCTCCTGGGTTTACGCTGGTCCTCCTCCTCTTGCTCCGTCGCCCTTCCAGTCAAGGCCATGGCCATCGCGCCTGACAGTTGCACGGCCTCCGGCCTGACGTTTGTTTTTGATTTGCCAGTGCGCCGTTAGGGCGCTAGGCTTGACTGACTTCCTCTGCCCCCCCGCCGCCTGCAGTACGATTCAACTTAACGCTAGTCCTGCCATGTTTCGTTGTCTCGTTTGCGTTCTGCTTCCCAATGTGCTTGAAGCTGGTCGTTGATGCGACAGGCTGGCGCGAACGAACGCGCCACCCGACAGAGAATACCTCAATTGCCTGTCATACACAGCAGAAAACCAGTATCGAAGACGCCTACGGCGAATCACCGCCGTCCGCTGCTTTTTTGGAAGCGCCTATGTGGCCGAACGTTGAGGCCAGACCTGCCAAGCTATCGGACCATGTGTTCCCCGAATCGGTTTGGAAAGCCTTCGGGGAACACGTGGGCATCTTGAAGGTCATCTTGGCCGTCTGGAGGCCATTTTGACCCTTTCGGGCCTTCTTGGAGGACGTCTTGGAGGGCTCTTGGGCCGTCTTGGAGGCCATCTTGAGCGTCTTGGAGGCCTCTTGGGCCGTCTTGGGGGCCTCTTTGGGCCGTCTTGGGCCTCTTGGGCAATCTTTGGGGGCACTTGGGCCGTCTCGGGCAGTCAGAATGCCGAAAAAAAGTAAATGCCACAATCTTTCAAAAACTCTTGGGCCATCAATGATTTTGGCCTTCGGGCCTTCCTCCTCTTGGAGGCCTCTTGGGCCGCCTTGGGCCATCTTAGTGCCATTTTCGGCCGTCTTGGTGGGCTCCTGGCCCGTCCGACGCCGTAGGAAGCCGTTTGGGGGGCCTCTCTGGGCCGACTTGGGGCCCTCTTGGAATGCTCCAGGGCCGGCTTGGAGGCCATCTTGGGCGTCTCAAAAGCCTCCTGGGTCGTCTTGGGGGTCGGTCTCTTGGGCCATTCTGGGGCCATCTTGGAGGCCTCTCGGACGATCTTTGGGTGATCTTTGTTGGCTCTTGGGCCGTCTCGGGTCGTCGGAAGGCCGAAAAGAAGCAGATATCAAAATCCTTCAAAGACCTAAGGAACAACAGTGTTTTTGACCTTTTCTGGCCTTCCTGGGGGCCCTCTTGGAGGCCTCTCGGGCCGTCTTGGGCCAGCTTCGAGCCAACTTCGGCCATCTTGGAGGGCTCCTAGCCCGTCTGACGCTGTCGGAAGCCGTTTGGGGGGCCTCTCTGGGCCGACTTGGGGCCCTCTTGGAATGCTCCAGGGCCGTCTTGGAGGCCATCTTGGGCGTCTTAAAAGCCTCCTGGGTTGTCTTGGGGGTCGGTCTCTTGGGCCATTCTGGGGCCATCTTGGAGGCCTCTTGGTTGATCTTTGGGTGATCTTTGTTGGCTCTTGGGCCGTCTCGGGTCGTCGGAAGGCCGAAAAGAAGCAGATATCAAAATCCTTCAAAGACTTAAGGAACAACAGTGTTTTTGACCTTTTCTGGCCTTCCTGGGGGCCCTCTTGGAGGCCTCTCGGGCCGTCTTGGGCCAGCTTCGAGCCAACTTCGGCCATCTTGGAGGGCTCCTAGCCCGTCTGACGCCGTCGGAAGCCGTTTTGGGGGCCTCTCTGGGCCGACTTGGGGCCCTCTTGGGGTGCTCCAGGGCCGTCTCAGAGGCCATCTTGGGCTTCTTGGAGGCCTCTTGGGTCGTCTTTGTGCCCTCTTGGGGTCGTTTTGGGGGCCTCTTGGGCCGTTCTGAGGCCATGTTGGAAGCTTCTTGGGCGCTGTGGGGGCGATCTTGGGGGCCTCTTGGGCCGTCTTGGGTCGTCGGAAAGCCGAAAAGACGCGAACGCGAAAAACCTTACAACAAAAACCCAAGATACATCAATGATTTTAGCCTCTTCGGGCCCTCCTGGAGGACCTCTTGGAGGCCTCTTGGGCCGTTTTGGAGGCCTCTTGGGCACCTCTTGGGCCGTCTTGGGCCGTCTTGGAGGTTTCTTGGGCGGACTTGGAGGCATCTCCTCCTCTCCTGGGCCGTCTTGGAGGCCATCTTGGATCATCTTGGAGGCCATCTTGGGCCAACGTGGCCATCATGGAGGCCATCTTGAGCCGTCCTGGAGGATTTTTCCGTAATTGAGCTCTTTTCTGGGAGGCCGGCGGGACGGGCCGAAGCCCCATGGGGGAGTTCTTTTGGAACAAGAACCAAAACCGAGACTCAGCACTCCAGGCACCCCTCTTGCAAGCAACAGGGGGCGGCGGATCCAGCTGTTTTCGGCCCAACCCGTCATCATGCTTGGGCTGTGGGCCGAAGAGCTCTCGTATGCTTCTTCGGGTCTCTTTGGAAGCCTGTGATGGGCCTCCTGAAGCCCTCGTTGGGACCTTTATTGTTCGTTCCTCTTCACCAGCTGCTGAAGAACCCTCGCATGGCGGTCGAGCGTCAAATCGGGCCTGTCCCTCTACATGAGGAATCATAAAAGTAGTCAAACAATAGTCTGGGGGCGTTTTTTTTGGGGGGGGAGTTATAAAGTATTTCAGGGTACTTTTTTGGTATTTCTCATTTTTCGCCCAAAATCCCCATGTCGGACAGGCCTGACTTCAGTCGAGCGCTCCCCGCGAGGCAGAGCAAGGAGGAAACGGGCGCGGGTGGGGCAGGGAAGCCCAGCAGAGGGGCCAGGACATGGGGAACAGGCGCGCAGAAGAGCAGAGGAGAGCGACGAGACGGAGGGAGAGAGGGCGCCGCCGGCAAGGAAGGGGAGGGGGCGAGATGGGATCCTCCTCCCCCTCCTCCTCCTCCTCCTCCTCCTCCTCCTCCTCAACCTCCTCCTCCTCTTCCTCCTCCTCGTGCTCGTGCCTCTTTGGTCGTTACTCCTCCTCCTCCTCCTCCTTCTCCTCCTCCTCCTCCTCCCCCCCTCCTCCCCCTCCTCCCCCTCCTCCTCCTCCTCCTCGTCCTGTCCTCCTCCTCCTCCTCCTCCTCCTCTCCGTGCGCCCCTCCTCGCCCTCCTCGCCTTCATTCCTCCCCATCCCGACCCTCCTACCCTCGCCCTCCTGGCCACGGCGTCGGAGCAGCCAGGCAATATGGATCGACCTGGCCGGCAGAGGGCAAGGGCAGATGCCTCCCGTCCACCTCTCGCTCTCGGCGAGCACGTCCAGTCCACCTCTCGCCCTCGGCGAACACGTCTAGTCCACCTCTCGCTCTCGGCGAACGGCTGGACACTTCCTTGAGCTATCGTAACTGACCTCCCCCCTCCTCCCCTGAGATCCCACGCTGGAGAGAAAAACTGCAACCTCGCGAAGCATCACCGCCATAGCCCTACACCCCCTCTTTCGGCGCCATGTTTCGAACCGGATCGATCTGTGATGGTCCCAGGGCCCGAGACCCGGCGAAAACGCTTGTTGTGGAGAAATGGCAGCGCCTGGATCTCAGGGTCGGTCCTCGAGGGGAGGGTCGAGTAGGTGGTCTTTTCTTATTCGTTGTTTTGTCGATCCGCGCGGGCCCTCGCACCCCCCCCCCTCTCCCCCCCCTATGGAGTGGATCTTGGCTGTTTTTGGAGCCTGTTTTCAGGCATGTGGAGTCTCCCCCGCAGGACGCCCTGTCGCAAACAGTCGCACAAAGCAGAGGTCCGGAGCCAGACAGCCCCCCCCTCCCCCCCCTTCCGCCCATCTTCGAAACGCCGAAGAAGAAAACGCTCACTAGAGCCCGGCCCCGACAGGCTTCCATGACGCGGTACTACGGCGCTGCTTGCGCGCCCGCGGCGCTGCACTCCAGAGTGGTGAGCGTTCAGGCCTGACTCCGCCCTCCCGCGTGCTCGAACTTCGGGGGTTCGTACCACCCGAGAGGGGAAGGAGGAGCTTGAGGAGGAAGAGGAGGAGGAGGAGGAGGAGGAGGAGGAGGAGGAGGAGGAGGAGGAGGAGGAGGAGGAGGGGAGGAGGAGGAGGGAGGGAGGAGGAGGAGGAGAGGAGCTTGAGGAGGAGGAGGAGGAGGAGGAGGAGGAGGAGGAGGAGGAGGAGGAGGAGGGAGGCGGCACCGCGGCGCGTCTGGTGGTTTAGCTGGCGTACGTCGTTCGTGCTCGCGCTCGTGGAGTCGGCCAGGGGGTGGCGACGGGCGCGCGTGGACAGAGTCGCCCACTGCCAGAGGAGGAGGAGGAGGAGGGGGGGGAGGCAGCGGACGGCGGAGGGGAGGGGAGGGGAGGAGGAGGAGGAGGGGAGGGGAGGAGGAGGAGGAGGGGAGGAGGAGGAGGAGGGGAGGGGAGGAGGAGGAGGAGGGAGGAGAGGAGGGGAGGAGGAGGAGGAGGAGGGGAGGAGGGGAGGAGGAGGAGGCGACGGCGCAGCGGATGGAACTGCACCAGGAGGACGGTGGCATGCGGTCGGGACTGTTCGGATGGCGTGTCGCTCCTCCGGCTCTGGCCCACCACGCTGCGGCCCGACGCGCCATCCACCACCCCCGCGGAGCGGAGCGGCGCGCTGTCCGCCTGCCGGGCATGGCGTGGCGCCAGGGCCGCCGCCGCGACACGCTATGCAGGCGCTCCTGTCCGTCACAGCTCAGGAGGGGGAAAAAGCACACAGACACAATTCATCGGCGACTCCCAGGAAAGCATATGGGAACATCTGCGAAGTGGTGGGGGGGAAGACGAAACCGCAGAACATAAAGAGCACTAGGGGGCATCCTGGGACTTGTGTGTGTGTATTTGCTTGTGTGTCCCTGGGCCCCGACCTCGGCGCGTATCTACTAGTGCGTCTTTCTTTGTGTGTATTTAATTCGTGTGTCCCTGGGCGCCGCCGACGGGGAGGGCGTCGACCTCGGCGCGCCCGGGGAGCCCAGGGCGCCCGGCCCGCAGGCGGGCGCTATGGCCGCCGGGCCGCGCGTCGGGCCGTGCGGGCGCGAGCGCGGGAGTGGCGCGCGGTCGCTGGCCGCACGGCAGGGCGGGCGGCGGGCCAGGCGCCAGTCTTAAGTCTCGGAGGCCTAGAGGTTGACACCAACACCAATATCGGCGGCGTGCTTCCACCGAGGGAAGATGATCCCGATCCAGGTGAGGGTGGTAATATTCGGGCTTTCTAAGTGGCCGAAAGATTACCACCAACACCAACATCCAGGATCATCTTCCTCCCGCGGAGGCAACCCCTGATGTTGGTGTTGGTGCCAATTTCCAAGCTTCCAAAAGTCGGCCCTGTCCCTCTACAGGGGGCATATTCGAGGGCGATTTTTGGAGTCTTGCTTCACTAGTTGTGGTGATTTTTCCTTGAGTCTTATTTTTTCACTGTTCTTCCAAAATCCGCCTGTAGGGGGACATGCCCGACCTAACGCCAGTCCGCACTTCGAGTATGGGGGTCGACTACAGAATGGAAGCCACGGTCCATGCGTAGAACTTGCGCAGATCTACGAGCATGCTTCGAATTTGTGTTGAAGAGTCGACGCGAAAACGAAATTTGGGGTAGGTCGATTCTGCAGTCGATCTCCTGCTCGAGCACTGACAGACAGGTCGGGTCAGATCAGAGGGGTGTGTGGTGGTGATCTCTGCAGGAGGGAACCAAACCCTGAGCAGAGCAAGAGGCATCACGACGACGACGACGACTACGACGACGACGACGACGACGACGACGACGACGACGACGACGACGACGACGACGACGACGACGACGACGACGACGACGACGACGACGACGACGACGACGACGACGACGACGACGACGACGACGACGACGACGACGACGACGACGACGACGACGACGACGACGACGACGACGACGACGACGACGACGACGACGACGACGACGACGACGACGACGACGACGACGAGGCGCGCAGCCGGTCGGCGCCGAAACACAGATCTGGGCAAGGGCCCTCCCTGCACATACGGTCAAACAGCATATCGTTGAGCGGTGCTGCAGCCTCCCTGGACCAAACGGGGATGACCCACGCGGCGTAATGGCTACCTTTCTTGGGGTGGCTTTGGCAGGACGTGGGTTCTCCTGGGAGTTCGGAGTTCTTATCTGGGCCTCCTTGGTTTTGGAGCTCCCCCCTTGTAGTGTCGCCATCGCTCTCATCCTCGCCCTCGTTCGGCATCTTTTCTCACGTGCGCCGTCGTCATGAGGGACAGGGGGGCTACGACATTTGCCGCATGAGGATGGCTTCGGCTCCGCCGCCGCGCAGACCCCTCCGTGCGTGGGCGCCCGAGGCTCCGAGAGGCGCTGGGGAGAGCCAGCACGGCGAGCCGAGAGCCCCCTCGAGGTCGCGACCGGGCTGGGGCAGCCCGTCCTCGAGCTCGCCTGAGCCGCTGCCGACGGCGCCACTGCTCTCGCTCGCTGGGCACCGCGCGCGACGCCCCAGTCGGCCCGTGCGGGCAGGGCGCCGCGGGCCAGAGTCGGGTCGGGCGCCAGCGGTGCAGACCAGCGGCCGGCGGTCGGCGCGCTGCGGTCCGCCAGCGGCACCGGCCGGCAGCCAGCCCTGGCGGGTGAGCGGTCGGCCGCTGCTCGGATCTCTCCAGATACTGGGACGGCTGCGCGGGCAGGGCCGCTGCCGGTCCGCGCTCTCTCTGCTGCCCGCGCTTGGCGCTTGTCTCTGGAAGCCGTGCAACAGACAGCTCGCTCGCTGTCAGGTGGGGAGGCTGGTGCACGGCAGGGCCGGTCAGGGCCAGCAGGTGCGGGCCGCGTGCGCAGGGCAGTCGGTGCTGCATCACGAGTGGGCGTTGGGTTCGCCTTCCGGTCCGTGCGCCGCATTCAGGCACGACGTGTGGCAAGCCGCCCTGGTTTGCTTCCGCCCCGTGCTTCGACCATGCCAGCATCTGTTCTTGGACGTGATAGCTACAGGGGGCCCCCTGTCAACCGCCATGTCCGGCAATTGTGCGCGACGCGGGAAAGACCATGACGGGATCCGACTCATTGCAAACTAGCCCCGCTCGTGAGGGGCGCATGATTGGTGGCGCAAAGCTTCCGTCGGCAAGAGGATGGTGATGATGGTGATGATGATGATGATGATGATGATGATGATGATGATGATGATGATGATGATGATGACGATGATGATGATGATGATGATGATAATGATGGTGACGATGATGATGATGATGATGATGATGATGATGATGATGATGATGATGATGATGATGATGATGATGATGATGATGATGATGATGATGGTGACGATGATGATGATGACGATGAGGATGAGGATGAGGATGATGATGAGGATGATGATGACGAGGATGGGAAAGAGGAGGACTCCTGGGGGGAGGAGGTGAAGAATGAGGAAGAAAGAGTAGGGGGATGGGGATGGGGGAAGGGGGCAAAAGGGGGAGGGGAGGGATGCGGTCGTGAAGAGGAGGGGGAGCAGGAGGGGGAGGATGAGGAAGTTCTGGTCCTCCTCGGGTTCGGATGTAACTGCTGCTGCTGCTGCGGCCCATCCTGTCAGTCCGCTTTCTGTCGTGCCTCTCCTTTCCCCTCCTCCAGCTGTCGTGGTCGTCGTCGTTGCCGCATCTTTGTCAGTTTTTTTTTTATGTTTTTGTTGTTTTTTGTTTTTCTCCCATTCATCCTCCTCGGCCACGCTTCGTCGTCGTCTTCATTTTTCTCCTCCCAGAGGCGGTGGGGTGCTGTTGCGAACATTGTCTCCCATCTTAATACCCAAGCATTGTCGGGAATTGCTGGTGGCTAGGAACCTGTTATCATTACCTGGACGCTTCCCACATCAAATATCGGTCAGAAGTTTTGATGAGCTGCGCGAATTTGCGGTCAATGGGATGTTGGTTGCAGGAGGTCGATTTAAAACTATTGAGCAGGTGCCACCGATATCTTGCAAACGAATTTGAGTTCAGATGCATTGTGCTCCGGGACCCTGCAGGAGGTCGCCAGTAAGTGTCGGTGTTGGCGAGGTGAGGTCGTCGCTGCCCGTGTGCTCGCGAAAAGTGTTGATGAGGAGAAGGAGGAGCGATGGGGAGGCGCAGGGGGAGGAGCAGTGGGCTGGGGGAGGAGGAGGAGGAGGAGGAGCAGGATGAGGATGATGATGATGAGGAGGAGGAGGAGGAGGAGGAGGAGGAGGAGGAGAGGGAAGAGAATGAGGAGGAGGAGGAGGAGGAGGAGGAGGAGGAGGAGGAGGAGGAGGCGGAAGGGGAAGGAGGACGGCTCGCGCGCTGGCGCAGGTGTTCCCGAGGAGGGTGCTGTCGCCGAGGCCGAAGGAGGCGCGGCTGCGGGCACTGTTGCTTCCCTCCTGCAGCTCGCCCTGGTGAGATTCGGCCAGCGATGCGCAGTTATCTCACTTCGTACAGTCGGAGGAAGGACGGCGCCCCTCCCACCTAACTTGCGTCGCGAAGAAATCGCGACGGGAGGTTTGTGCCAATGTTCTACCTCCGGGGGGCCCTCGCTGGGCCCCAGGACCGTCAAAGCGCAACTCTGGATGGAACGGATGAAACGCGGGTCCGTGGGAATGGGGTCTAGATTTGTGGGGTTCCACGTTGCGAGAAAAACTACGTCAGAACGCTGGGAAGGACGGCGTGCCCCCGTCACCCGCGCCCGCCCCCACCGCCACCACCTTTGCTTTCTGCAACCCTCCGTTCCTTTCCACTTTTTTCTCCCCCCTTCATCCCTTCCCCCTCTTTTCCCTTCCCTTGTCTCGCTTCTTTTGGGGAGGCTGTTTCTCATCCGAATGGATCGGGATCTGGGTCGACTAGGTTGGCTGCAACGCAGGTCCACATGCAGCCATTGCAAGGGCCCCGGACTCACA